CACCTATTGGCTCTGACACTAGGCTGACCCCAACTGTAAGTCCATTATATAGCAAAGAACCTACAAAGCCTGCCTTCCAGCAGAACCTTACCAGATCCAATACGAACAAACTGATGTAGCGTGCTAAAGCCTACCGAACGGAGAACCGGAACAGACTGCTCAGGGCTGCTATTCACCCACTACACATCAATATAGCTGTGATGCAGTTATGAAAATACTGAAGTACTTAGGTGCACACCTGAATACAACAGTCACCTCGGGACCTCCGAGGACCACCATTTCTGCAATGATGCACCCCAGAGCAGCTTTTACCATCCAGCAATTTAAGGATTTATGGGGCACAGCAAGGAGCTCTCAAGACCCTATTCCAATACCACTACCCATCCTCAGAGTATGATTAAGCAGATCCACTCTGGCCCTTGCCTGTTCCACACAGCAATGTTATCCTACCCTAAAACTCATGACTGCTTTTTTGCTTTTGGTGAACTAGATGCCATGAGATTCAAAGTCTTGCACAGAAGCTGGGATGTAGTTCATCCTTCACTTACCTACATACCTCCATCTTACTACACTCAGCTGCTCAATATTGCCAAATGCTAACCTTTCCCTGGTTCCTGGTCTTTGTTGCCTGTGAATAGCCTTTTTTCTGGCCTCTATCAGAATCCTCTTTTTCCTCCTTTCAGGTTCTTTGTCTGTTTGTTTGTTTTGAGGTAGGGTCTCATGTAGCACAGGCTAGTCTTGAACTTCCGATCCTCCTGTTTCCAGCTCAGAATACTGTAACTGCAGGTGTACACCACACCCAGTTCTATATGGTCTTGAGGCCCAGACCCAGAGCTTCGTACACTTCAGACTGAGCCACATCCTCAGCCTCAACTCATCAGAACCTACCCTACATTGTGAGAGCTTTGTCTGCATCAGTAAGTGTGCCCTGTGCATGCCGTGCTGGTAGAGACCCAAAGAGGCCTCCGACCCTGTGTACTGGAATCAAAAGCATTAGAAGCCACCATTGTCATCCTGGCGACCAAACCTGAGTCCTCTGCAAGAGCAGCAGGGGCTCCTAGCCAATGAGCCATCTCTCCAACCCCAATTCATCAGAATTTAACCAACTTCTTGCCATCTACCTAGATGTCTCCACTTCTATGATATTACTTAAAAGCCATGTCCCAGTTTCAGAAATATCACAGCAATATCTGCTTTCTACTTTTGAAAAAATTAATGAATGCGTTCCAGACAGGGTTTCTCTGTATATTTCTGGCTGTTCTGGAACTCACACATCTGCCTGCCTCTGCCTTCCAAGTGCTGGGATTAAAGGTGTATACCGCCTGATTATGCCATCCCAGGACTGGTAGTCCTGAGGTATATAAGAAAGCAGGCTGGGGCTGGAGAGATGGTTAAGAGCACCGGCCGCCCTTCAGAGGGCCCAGGTCCAATCCTGGCACCCACACAGCAGCTCACAGCTGTGTGTAACTCCAGTTCCAGGGCTTCTGACACTCTCACACAGACATTCATGCAAGCAAAACACCAATGAACAGGAAGGAAGGAAGGAGGGAAGGAAGGAAGGAAGGAAGGAAGGAAGGAAGGAAGGAAGGAAGGAAGGAAAGGATTATTCCATGTGGAATAAGCCAGTAAGCAGCACCCCTCCATGGCCTTGGCATCAGCTCCTGCCTCCAGGTTCCTGCCTATACTTCCCTTCAATGGTAGACTATGAAGTAGAAGTAAAAGCCAGATAAACCTTTCATCCCCAATTTACTTTTGATCCTGGTGTGTATAGCAATAGTATACCTAGCACACCACATCTTGATTATCACAATTAGCACAATGCTTTGTTTGAGCAATGTATTAAACAAATAAAACTGACTGAATGGTTGTAATTATTTCGGTCAAGAAACTCTTTTCTAAGCTGGTCAGTGGTGGTGCACACCTTTAGTCCCAGCACTCGGGAGGCAGAGGCAGGCGGATCTCTGTGAGTTTGAGACCAGCCTGGTCTACAAGAGCTAGTTCCAGGACAGCCTCCAAAGCCACAGAGAAACTGTCTCGAAAAACCAAAAAAAGAAAAAAAAAGAAAGAAAGAAAGAAACTTTTTTCTATTTGTTAATAATTTTAGTTGTTTTCCTTTAAAGCTATCCCAATCATGGTTATATCTCTTTCTGCATATGGAACCCAAATTGCACACCATCCACATCTTAAACTACCAGGTTATTTTAGAAGATGGAGCAGGAAGTATGCTCCCCTGTCATTACTTTGCCACCCCAGAGTTTATGACTGCCATTCTCTATACACTTCTCCAGTGCTAAACCAATATACCCTCACACAGGGACAAGTAAATGACAGGTTCTGCGCAGTGTAGGTCAGCCTCACAGATGACAGGAAGGCAGGTGGTGAACTGAGTTGGCAGAGATTACTAGAAAGTGGCAGGGTGGTTCGTTGGGGGATAAAATGGGGCTCTGGTTGCTGCGGTTAAGTCCTGGGTACAGCTGGGAGGGGCAGCTTTGGTCTGGTGGTTGTTGGAGGAAGGGACACTAGAAACCCCCTTCCTGCTTCTCCTAATTCCTTACTCCTTCCCCAGAGGAATAGCTCTGATCTGGGAGTAGGACACAGCACAAGAGGGAATTTTGACGAGAAACATCTGGACTTCTTAATGACAAAGAAGACTGGGGAATAAGTACAGCCATCCTCCAAGTCTCACCCCATGGAGGAATCAAGGCAGGACTGATAGGACACATGTCACAGAGGATGGACTTCAGAGTCCTCAGAATCTAAAAGGAGGAACAGAGATCCTTAGTGCTTGGGCTCTTGTTAGAAATCACAATGAGAACCAGGCATGGTGGCACATGCCTTCAATTTCAACACTGGGGAAGGCAGAAGATCTCTGTGAGTTCCAGGCCAGCCTGGTCTACAGAGTGAGTTCCAGGACAACCAGGGCTACTCAGAGAAACCTTGTCTCAAAAAACCAAACAGGACCGGGCATTGGTGGCACACGCCATTAGTCCCAGCACTCGGGAGGCAGAGGCAGGCAAATCTCTGAGTACGAGGCCAGCCTGGTCTACAGAGTGAGTTCCAGGACAGCCTCCAAAAGAATACAGAGAAACCCTATCTGGAAAAAAAAAACAGGAAGGAAAGAAGGAAAAACAGGCTACATGGCACACACCCACAGTCAGCACCGGGGAGACTGAGGCAGGAAGATCTTGAAAGCAAGCCTAGCTTGCAATACAGCAAGTTGCAGATTAGCCTAGGCTACAGAGTGAATGGCCATCTCAAAAAGAAAAAAGAAAAGAAAGAAACCATAAGGAGCACTAAGTCAATTTTGGAATAAGAAACTGGGAACATATTTTTGGAGAAGGGTCATTTTGGGAAAAAATTTTAAATAAAAATTTAAAAACCCACAAGTCAGATCCACCAAGCAGAGAAACACAGCAGATTCAGAAACTGGTATGAAGAAGCCAACAAGATCCAGAGGCTGGGTGGGAGCCAGAGTGCAAGCTTATTATGGCCAGCGGAGCCTGGTCTTGGACGAGAAAGTACACCTGAGGCAGAGAAGTGAGGAGGGACAGGACGGCAAAGCAACGGCTTCCCGTCTAATTTATGTAGTTCCCACTAGCCTCGCTGACAAAGGGTGTCCCAAAGAGGAGATGGAAGCTCAGCCACCTGCACCTGGGTGGCCCATACTGTGGAGCCCGCTACAAACAACAAAACCTGAGGCGGGAGACTGAATTCTATGTAAGGCAACCTCTGGGGGCTTGCTGGCCTCGGAAATGCTCAAGTGGCAGAGGCCATATAGTCTCTTATCCCAACCGAGAGGGACCCTGGAGATCATAGGCCTTTCCCTCTGGCTCTCTAGCTACATACAGTAGCTAGATCTCTTGTAATCGCCAGTCTCCTAGCTTACAGCCAGAATTATGTCCATCGCCACAGAGAGGTTGGGCTACAAGCTTAGTTACTGAGACAATAACTTCTTCTGGGCCACAAAAGACAAAATACCACATCCGGCTAAGGGTAAGACTGTTGACCAAAATATCTACCAGGAGGGAATTCTTTGAGATTCTTGAAACAAGAAAGTGAAACCCAGGGAGAAGATACATGAAAACTTCTTTAGGCTGGAGAAGGGCACCTGACCCTTCTGGAAGCTTCCTTTCTGACTACCAAATGACATTTTACTTTGTTAAGCTAATCAAAAGTATATTGAGGCCGGGCGGTGGTGGCGCACGCCTTTAATCCCAGCACTCCGGAGGCAGAGGCAGGCGGATCTCTGTGAGTTAGAGACTAGGCTGGACCGACAGCCTCCAAAACAATACAGAGAAACCGTGTCTCGTAAAAAAAAAAAAATATATATATATATATATATATTGAAAGTCATTGTGGATAATCATATCCATTGAAGAAGGGAAAGGACGTTTCCTCGAGTTTTCCTAAGCAGAAACTTGAGTGCTTTGGGGAAATAGAAATATAAGTATGCATCTAACCATGGCAGGGTCGCCTTTGGGCGGGATCTAGGGAGTTTGCTAGATCCGCGGGTTTTGCAAGGGCTTCAACCGCTGGAGGATCGGAGAACTACGCATTCAGTGGCGCACGAGATGGGGGAAGGCCAGAGGGCTCTCTCGGAGATGCGATTAAAAAAGAACCGCGTTAAGTTCGACTGGAGAGTTAACAGGGAGCCAACCACACACCCGCAAGCTGAGGGCAAAGTTGGGGCGGCGCCGACCGCAGCTTGCGGTCGAGTTGCGCCGCAGCCCTGGAGCCCGCGCTCGATAACCGCGTGTTTCTCAGTCCGCTTTGCTGGAGTCCCGAGCGGTGGAAGGTATCCCAAACCTCTGCCAGCGTTCGGGGAGTTCACACTCTGCCCTGGGCAGGCCAGAATCAGAGACCCACCGCTGCCCCACCGGCCCGGGTCCCCGGGAAAGCGAGGGGCGGCGCTGGCACCTGGAGTCGTCTCGGAGAGGCGGATCCCTGCCCGGGAGCGCCCGCCCACCTCGGCCACCTCCTTGGCCCCCGGCGCTACTTACTGCGATTCAGGGGGTTCCCGCCGGTCTGGGCCGACGCCACCAGCTCCAGATACAGAGTCCAGAGTCCCACCGATACCACGGCGAGCAGCAGAAGCAGCCGGAAGCGCCTCCTCAGCAGCTTGATCGGGCGCAGGGACAGCATCAGCGGCGCGGCGCGGGTGCTCCCCATGGCTCTGCGCCCGGCCGGCCACCCAAGCACCGGCAACCCCGCACCCGCCGACCCGACAGGGCTTCGCCGTTCAGGGCGGCGCGCAAGCGGTCTCCCTCGATCGCTCTCCAGCCGGCCGGCCGCTCATGCTCCGCGCGCTAGGGTCCCTCGGCTGCGCGGGAGCTTCGCCGGTCTCTCTCGGGCCGCTGAGCCCGGCTCCTCCTCCCCAAGTGTCCACTCCACGCCTCTCCTCGTCTCAAGCCCGCCACCTCCCTTTCTCCCTCCCTCGCTCCTCGTTTGCTCCTGCACCCGGCCTGGGAGGCTCTCTTGGGTGCCCACCGGCTCCTGCGCTCGCTTTCTGCAGCTAGGGCGCTTTATCTCCGCTGCGAGCATTACCTTACACCCTACCTGTCCCGCCTCCGCCTCGGCCCCGCCCCCAGGCACAGGTGGGCCCTGCCCGCTGGAGACCGAGGGCTGGCGAGAGGTGGGGCCAAAGAGCAGGTCCCTGACGTAGCCACCCTTGGGGTCATGTGGGAGGGTGTGTGGGATGTGTGATGAGGGAGATTTGGGAATGAAAGAAGATTCGAGTTAAGCCGTGGACTCTGTGACCGAAGGAAACACAGTCACCGCCAAGATATTTGAGGTGCTCCTTCAAAGCTGGTGTGGAGGTGAGACTCATTTTTGTTGAAGTGACCTCGGTGACTTTGGCCTCAAGTCCTTTTTCTGCCTACAATGACCCTAGCCCCAATGGACACTTAGCCTTGACGCTGTCTTCCAAGTCAAATTTGAATACCGTTCTTTCCCGGCCACAACTACACTCTGAAAGACACCTGGGAGCTTTAACAAGGAGTTTCCCCCATTTTGGGGTGGAAGAGATGTTGGAGAATTTTTTTAAAAAGACTGGAGGGGCAACTCAATAGTAGACCAGTAGCATGTAGGAGGTCCTGGGTTCCATCCCAGAACCATAAAATACGGAAATGAAAAGGTGGGTGGAGTGGTAGAGACCGCTCATCCACAGAGGGAATAACACAGGACCTGAGCTGGGTTCACCTATGTTGTGATTTAAGAAAAGCGGTACTCAAGAGAACGACTTCATGCAACAGGGTTCAAGCAGAGGGGTTTTTTATTAGGGAAAGGGTCATAAAAAGGGGAAAGGGGGAGACCAGCCTCTGGAGACAGGAGCGGCAGGAGGGAGGAGAGAGGGAAAGAGAGAGAGAGGAAGGGGTGGAGGGAACAGACAGAGAGGGAGAGAAAGAGAGGAGGATGGGAGGTGGGCAGGGCCCTTTTAAAAGGGACCATAGTGAATGTGCACAGGTGGTGCTCTTAGTGGCTGCAGCTGAGGGTGCATCCTGTCAGAACCCCAAGAACAAGTCAGGACAGATGCCTGAATACTAACAACTGTAAATCTAACTTTCTCTTCCAGCTTCTGCTGCAACCTCCACTCATAAGTATAAACCCACATAGAGATACACACATGTGTACAAAATTTATAATAAAATAAAATATTTTTAAAAGGGGGAAAATGAAAGCGAGCCCATATCACTATTGGATATGCATTGTTTCCTTCTGAGTCCCTCTTTTACTTCCAGCCCTCATGCTTAAGCCTTTATTAAAATACCTGTAATAAAATCTGGAGCTCTACTTACACACACACACACACACACACACACACACACACACACAGGTAATGAAAAGAGGGGAAATTACTCAGGGTTGAAAGGGTCCTATAGATACTCCACATTCCAAGGCCCTGACTTTAGGCAGAGAAAGCAGTGTTATCTGATTTAAATGAAAGAGTTAAAAACCCAGACAGGCAGAGTGAATTGTCAGAGGTCACCCAGCAGGTGGAGGCTCAATTTTCCACTCTTCTAGCAAAAAAAAAAGTCAGAAAAATGTGGAGAGAGCTGAGCATGGTGACACACCCCTGTGATCCCAGGGATCTGAAATTCAAAGTCAGCTTCAGTTACTTAGTTGAATTTGAAGCCAGCCTAAGATACATAAAAATGCTCTCCACCCCCCCTCAAAGAAAAACACTGGAAGAGGAGGAAATGTGGAAGGCCCCAATATGTCTCAGGACATATTAAAATCAAGCACATACCATGCAAATGCTGTACAAGGGCAGATGTCTACGGGACACACTCTATTTCCTCACTCTAGTTCTTCAGTAGAAGTCCCTAGGAAATGTCCGTGTGATGTCTGAAGCCACCCATGGAAGCTTTGGATGGTTGTTCATCTGTTTGTTTACCAAACATCCAAAGCAGGCGGGCAACTTGTTTAAGTTGGCCTGAGCCTTGTGGGAAGGGACTGGGACCCCTGCAAAATCTCTCTTTTCTTGGGAGTAGCACTGCTGGTGTTAGGCTGAGTGGCTTGCAGGATTTTGTCCTGGAAATGCGTGGTAGCCTGTTCCCTACTATGACTCTCTCCTGAAAGCTGGCAATCATTTCATTCAACCAAATGCTAGAAGCACCGGCATGTGGGAACTGGGAGAGATGGGGAACAGGGAGCATGCTGTCTCATTGAGTAGAAAAGAAATCAGACACTTTCAAGGTCGGATTTCTGGCCCAAGCAGACATTTCCAAGAAATTCAGAAGAAGGACGAAGCCACCTTGTGTCTCTCGACCTTGTGTCCGCCTCTTCTCACTCTCTCTCTATTTGCTTCCTTGCTAAAGACTGGGCTCACGTATTGTGCATGCTGAACGTAAGCTACACCCCTGAGCCACACCATAGCCCCCTGTTCTTATAACTCCCCTGATAAAGATGGAAGGGGCCACAGGAGACCAGGAGAGTCTCAGGGGTTCCCCTTTCCTATCTTCAGCCCACTTTCCTGCTGCATATACCTCTGTGGTACCCGGCCTGCTTTACACCCCTTTGCATGCTGGGCCAGTGCTTACCACTGATTTACACCCTAACCCCTACATTCCTCTCTTGACTTCTGGTGTTATCACAGACTTGGCACTCAAATTTTTTTCTTGATCAGCTGAACTCCAGAGCTAAGTATATGGATTGAAATACTCAATACACAGGCTAATACAGTGACTATATTGTTTATAATGTCTTTTTGTTGTTGCGTCTACTGGATATTCACAAATTCTTCATATGTCTTTTGGTGACTTTTCACCATCTGACCCTGAGCCTACCATAATCCGGAGTCGCAATGCAGAGGCTGCACCAGAAAAGAAAAATAATTTATATCCTGTTACCTGTAGTACCATTTGGGATGAGCTTTCTCTGGGTTTGGACTTAGCAATGATCTAAGCATCAGGGCAAGCCATGCCACAGAGAAGGTCTTTTCTGATTATAGAAGCTTTGAAAGAAAGGCCGAAGGCAGGCTTTCTAAAGTGAGACAAAGTCAGCACAGAGACACAAGGATTCTGGGCGTAGAGGGCACAGAAGGGAAGCGCAGGCTGGGATGTATCTCAGTGTAGAGCACGTGTTGGGAATTCACAAAGCCCTGGGTTTGAGCCCCAGTAGAGGTGAGTGCACATGAACACAGGCACCCTCACCCCTAAAATAATCCTTAAAGTAAGAGGAAGAGAAATCAGGTGGTGGTGGCGCACACCTTTAATCCCAGCACTCGGAAGGCAGAGGCAGTTGGATCTCTGTGAATTCAAGGCCAGCCTGGTCTTCAGAGTGAGTTCCAGAACAGCCTCCAAAGCTACACAGAGAAACCTTGTCTCAAAAAATAAAAAAAAAATAAAAGAAATAATGAAAAGAAAAGAAAAAGGAATATGGATAATGCCAGGAAGCAGAGGCAGGTTAATCTCTGTGAGTTGGAAGCCTGGTCTATAGAGCAAGTTCACGTAGCTAGGGCTACCCAGAGACACCATCCCCTACCCCCCACCCCTGTTCAAAAAAAAAAAAAAGGATTAGAAGGATGCCTAATAACCTTTAGGTAAGGTAGTAGCAATGCCTAATATAGAACAATTCTTTTAAAAAAACATATTTTAGACGTATTTAACTTTATGCATATGAATGTTTTGCCTGCATGTATGTTCATCATGTGTACCTCAGAGCTCAGAAGAGAGCAACCTGGAGTTGCAGATAGTTGTTACCCACTATGCAGATGCTGGAAATTGAACCAGGGTCCCCTGGAAGAACTATCAGTACTCTTAATCACAGAGCTATCTCTCCAGCCCCTACAGAGCAATTAGTATTCTACTACATAGAGATACATTAATCACCAGGCTAGGGATGTAGCTCGGTTGGTAGAGTACTAATCTAGCATTCACAAGGCCCTAGGCTCAGTCCCTAGTAAACATCAACCTAACCTGCAATCCCGGTACTCCAGAGGTGGAAGTAGGAGAATCAGAAATGTAATCCCAGGCTACCTGGTGAATTTGAAGCCAGCCTGGCCAATATAGCAAGAGCCTGTCTCTATCACCCAAAATGAACAAATAAATTAAGTAAGTAAATAAGTAACTGTGCTAGAGTGCTCTTCATCTTAGAAAAGCTTCCTTTTTTATCTCTCTCTCAATTCATGCAAATCATTTATAGAGAGGCAATATAATAGGTTTTACTAGTTCATTTTACGAAGATATTAAATGCTAGATGTTGTATAGGCAACTCATGGTTCTAGAGATGGGGAATCAGCCGGGCGTTGGTGGCGCACACCTTTAATCACAGCACTCCGGAGGCAGAGGCAGGTGGATCTCTGTGAGTTCACTGCCAGCCTGGTCTACAGAGCGAGTTCCAGGACAGCCTCCAAAACAATACAGAGAAACCCTGCCTTGAAAAAACAGAGAGAGAGAGAGAGAGAGAGAGAGAGAGAGAGAGAGAGAGAGAGAGAGAGAGAGAATCAAATTCAGGGTTTGTAATACTAGCCAGACACCATGATCTTCATGCAACCCCCATCTGTGTCTTGAACACATTTTTTTTGTTGTTGTTCTAGGGATGGAGCCCAGGACCTTGTGAATGCTTTTACACTGAACTATATCCAAAGCCCTGAAGTCCGGTGTATTTTTATTCCTGCTTTGTATATTTGCTTCCAGGAAATGGAAGTTCCCCTGGAGAAATAAATTCATCCTGGAAACTCTGAGTTCTCTTTCGGCACATCTGCAACTCATTCAGACATGCTCTGTCCCTCATCCCTCCTCCCCACGTCCTCATCAGCACCACCTGCTCTCTTCTTTAGTGAGGACATCTTCATTTCCATCCATGGTTTCCTGGGTCCATTATCTACAAATAACTCTATAGAGTTTCCTTCTACAGGGTCGTTGATCCGACAGAAATTCTTACTGAATTAATTGCTCTTACCGTGCTATTGCAGCAGGGCCTCCGTATGTCACCCAGGCTAGACCCTCAGTTCCTGGACTGAAACAATCCTCCTGCCTAGTCCCGCCCCTCCCCCGCCACCAGCTGGCACTGTAGGCATGCTTCACCACACCAGGAT